AACAGCGCCCTCCGGTGAGACTCTGAGTGCCGCTCTAAAAAGAGGCCAACCACGTCCCATGAACTCAGCAGGAAGTCACACACCGATGATGTTGATCAAATCCAACCCAGACACCGCAGCCTTGTCCCGCTCTAACATTTCACCCAATACGGGGTTCATCACCAAGATTGGGTGAAACGTTAGAGAAGCATTCAATAACGTTGAATGTGATCTGCCATCATCAGTATGCGACGTCCTGCAGAGTAAAAGAATAAAAGAGAACTATGGGCCAACCTTTTTTGGCATAGTTCCATTTAGGCCACAGGAGGACATATTCTGATGTCCTCGTGTGACCCAAAATTCAGCATATAGCGGGCAATGCTGACAGCGTTGTGCTGCATCCGGAATGGATCCTGCTGCCTGATTTACAACTGCTGTGCCCGCCCCCTCCCCATCTGGTCAATCAGCGCTAGAGGAATAGAAAGAGGGGAGGGGGAGAACCCCTGCCGGGGGGGGGGGTGACTGTTGCTCACCGCTCTCTGCATGGACATTGATAAGCGGTATGTGATCACTCAATAGAGCCAACGCGTGACAGCTTCAGTACTCAGTATGCGGCTCTAATTATGGTGAGGAGTGTATTTCACTCTCCCCATAATTCTCCTTTAAGGATTGAACATTTACAGAGATATTCACAAAAGGGTGAAGAGTTTGGAGAAGGGAACAATCTAGGACTACATCGCTGAACTGGAAAGTGAGCTGAATTGGAGAACTTTCCCAGTTCAGCGATGTAGTCCTAGATTGTTCACTTCTCCGGCCTTCTCCAAACCCTTCTGTGAATAACCGCTTGTGTGGATGTTTTGGAAGAAACAGCAGTTGAGACTGCAATCTGCCTGTGTGCCACTGTGGTTTGGCGGCGTTGACGCATTTCCGGGGTCAAGCCCCCTTCCTCAGAACGTGACCTCAACTACCTCTTTCTTCTCTTTAAATAGGGGGATAAACCAATATCCAGGAAGTGCAATTTAGTTCAGCTGGATCGTAAAGATCGGGCTGGGCAACAAGTGTAGGCTCATTGCAAGGAGCCTGCAAAAGATACTTTTAAAATAAAAAATAATCTGCACTAGGTTGGGCGCCCTTCTGTCCTTTTTTGTATTCCAGTTTTACAGTTTCTCCCGGCTGAAGTGGGGCAGCACCCCTAGTTGTTTTTACTTAATCATCAGGATCCGAGCACAGCGCTTTAACTTTACTATATTTTCCTTCTGTGAATAAGCCTGTCAGATTCTTTCATAAGCCCATCTGTGCCAAGTTTTGATTAGCAGCAAATGCACATCCTATTACCTAACCACCAGAGGGAGCACCTAATACTATATACAAAAGAAAAGAAACATGGAGCAGCAAGCAAGTGAGAAAGTCACATCAAAATGTACTACAATGACAACAAAGAACACACAAGGAAACTGAAAAGGAACGCTTTCCCTTTAACCCCCTACAGCAGTGGTTCTCAACTCGTGGGTCGCGACCCAAAAGTGGGTCGCGACACCCTCTGCAGTGGGTCGCGGCGTCATGTCTGAATAGACCGGCCTGAGACTGAATAGAGAGGGGGAATTTGTTAGAGAGAGAGAGAGAGAGAGAGAGGTCATTACTCCAAGCCTGCAAGAAAATCCCCGCCTGTGGAACTCTGAGTGCCGCTCTAAAAAGAGGCCAACCACGTCCCATGAACTCAGCAGGAAGTCACACACCGATGATGTTGATCAAATCCAACCCAGACACCGCAGCCTTGTCCCGCTCTAACATTTCACCCAATACGGGGTTCATCACCAAGATTGGGTGAAACGTTAGAGAAGCATTCAATAACGTTGAATGTGATCTGCCATCATCAGTATGCGACGTCCTGCAGAGTAAAAGAATAAAAGAGAACTATGGGCCAACCTTTTTTGGCATAGTTCCATTTAGGCCACAGGAGGACATATTCTGATGTCCTCCTGTGACCCAAAATTCAGCATATAGCGGGCAATGCTGACAGCGTTGTGCTGCATCCGGAATGGATCCTGCTGCCTGATTTACAACTGCTGTGCCCGCCCCCTCCCCATCTGGTCAATCAGCGCTAGAGGAATAGAAAGAGGGGAGGGGGAGAACCCCTGCCGGGGGGGGGGGTGACTGTTGCTCACCGCTCTCTGCATGGACATTGATAAGCGGTATGTGATCACTCAATAGAGCCAACGCGTGACAGCTTCAGTACTCAGTATGCGGCTCTAATTATGGTGAGGAGTGTATTTCACTCTCCCCATAATTCTCCTTTAAGGATTGAACATTTACAGAGATATTCACAAAAGGGTGAAGAGTTTGGAGAAGGGAACAATCTAGGACTACATCGCTGAACTGGAAAGTGAGCTGAATTGGAGAACTTTCCCAGTTCAGCGATGTAGTCCTAGATTGTTCACTTCTCCGGCCTTCTCCAAACCCTTCTGTGAATAACCGCTTGTGTGGATGTTTTGGAAGAAACAGCAGTTGAGACTGCAATCTGCCTGTGTGCCACTGTGGTTTGGCGGCGTTGACGCATTTCCGGGGTCAAGC